GCCCCCTGCAGCACCCCAGGACCCCAGAGGGGGGGCTCAGGCAGGACAAGAACAAGGATGCACAACCAGACGCAGCCAGAGAAATCAGAGTGTGGGGACAGAGACCACCAGGCCCCTGGGGAGAAATGGGAAAAGTGAGCAGGAGGAGACTCCGGATCTGGCCTTGGTGGGGGTGGGGGTGGGGTGGGGTGGGCGGAGCTCAGTCTCCCTGACAATGTGGGAGGGGGCGGGGGAGTGGCTCCCAGTTGCCCTGGCAACAGGGCCCTTCAGTTCAGGGGATTGGAATGAAAAAAGCCACATGCAAATGAGGCAAATTGCAATTAGGGAGAACAGGGAACAGTGGGTCAGGTCCACCCTTGGAGGAGCAGGAGGGGTGTGCGGAGCAGAGGAGGCCCTGTGTATAAAAGCCTTTGCAGCCCGGGGTGTGCAGGGGCCCCTGAGGTCCCGGGGAACCTCCCTTACCTTGGGTGTGCTCACTGAGTAGTGGCCACCATGGTTTAGAGCCCCGGGTCTGCCCCTCGGGGTGCGATGCCCGTTGCTCTGTAGATGGGAGGAGCAGGGCTGCAGCAACAGCCAGAGCCATGTCCTTAGAGACGAGGAGTCACGGGCGCCAGAGGGGGTAGTGGTGCGATGCAGGCAGGGGGGAACACAGGTCTTTCCGAGATAAATCCAAGAGTCAGTTTGCAGATCAGGTGGCCATCAGCCCGCCAAGAGCCTCATGTGGGGAGGCGTGAGCCCCTCCAAAGCATAAGCGTCCTCTCCAAGACACACCTCACATATTTAGGTGCCATGACCATCCTTCTCGCCACCGATGCAGCCCCGCCTGCCTGTCTCCTTCATGACCCCTAGAATGACAGCCAGGAGCTCTGGACTTTCCTCTGTCTCTGACACCTGAGACCAAAGTTAACAGACAGATCGAAAAGAAGAAGAAGAAGATGAAAGAATGGGCAAGAGGGGCTGGGCGGTGGCTCAGGGGCAGAGCGCTCGCCTAGCATGTGTGAGCACCCCATATAAATAAACAAACAAACAAAACAAAGGCATTCTGTCCATCTACAACTACAAATAATAACAATAATAGGCGAGAACTTCAACAATCACCACCACAAAGCCTCTAATAGATCCTTAGGGAGATTGGAGAAGATACTGCATTGGTCAAACAAGAACAGAATGCTCTGAGAAAGGAACATTGCAAGAACAGGAGAGAGAGGCTGCCTACGGTGGCGAACAGAGCGCGGAGTAAAGGAATATGTGCGTCACTTAGAAAAAAGAGGCAGGGCTGGGGCTGGGGCTCAGCGGTAGAGCACGCGCCTAGCACGCGCAAGGCCCTGGGTTCGATCCTCAGCACCACATAAAATAAATAAATAAATAAACAAAGGTATTGTGTACAATTAGAAAAATAAAAATAAAAAAGAAGAAGAAGAAAGAGGCAGGAGCAGAGGATGAGAAAGACATAGGGAGAGGGAACCTCCAAGCCAAGGCGGGAACAGTGACTCACGTGCCCCACCCACACCCACAGGAGTGGTGCCTGATTTGTCCTCTCCCCATGGACCAAGGGACAGGTTGTCTTCCTTTCCTCTGGCTAACCCCACCTTGAAAGTGATTCCTTGACCCCAGAGCAGGCCCTGGGGAGCCGCTGCTATTCCCTTAACTGATGGACAGCCTCACTTCAAAACACCCGAGCAAGAATGTGCTTTATTGTTCTGTCTTCAGCAGCCACTGAGTGTGTGGGGCAGGGCCAGCCCTGGAAAATCTAAGTCATGGAAACGAAGACGCCAAGAGGCACTGGGCTGATAAGGACAGGAGCTGAGAAGGAGCCAGCAGGTCACCACTTCAGAGGACCAACCAGTCCGACTCCCTCTCACCTGGGCAGGAGGAAGGCTGACAGGGCAATCTGCCTGGCCTACGGGGGGACGGACGCCAGGTCCCGGGGATGAAGGCCGGGCAGACTGGACACCCTGCAACCCGGATAACCCCAGATGAGCCCAGGAGGCGTGTCTGGTGATGCAAATTGCTTTGAGCCACAGCAGCCACCTCTTTGTCACCTTGTGCCTAAAATGACCTGCTGTCATTTGTCCTGGCCAAAAGCATCTGGTGAGGGCTGGCAGTTGAGGAAATCGGCACATTTATCTCATTTGCATTTGGATTCATCAACTGAGGGGAAAATGAAAAAAAAATCATAGGTGCTTTGAAGTCCCAGGCGCAGGCTGAATGCCTGTTTCTGCCTCATCTGGCTGTGACTTGGGACAGAGTCCTGCGATTTGCTGAGCTCCTGTTTCTTTGTCAGCAAATAGGGTGGAGGGTGATAATCTTTCCCCACAGAACTACGGGATCAAGTGTCTCCCCTCTTCTAGGGAGTTTCCGACCAGGGGGGCCCTGATTCTTATCCCTTGGCACCAAAAAGCATAGCTTGGCCACCCTAAGAACAGCGGCAGCTGGAGGTAGAGCAGAGCACGGCAGGTGTGCTTCTGGGGCACTAAAGCGTCACTTCATTCCATTTAGGCAGCCACCCCAAGTTAGTGCCCTTTGAATCCCTCCTTTTGCTGTGGGGAAATGGGAGCACAGAGAGGTTGCATCATGGAGCTGAGGTCACACAGCAGCAGCAGCAGCAGCAGCACTAATACATGACTGCAGGTGGACCATGCCAGGCTCTCTGCCCTTCACCTCATGCTCTTGGGTCTCGAAATACAGTCATATTCCTCATAAGGACCCTCAGGTCCATGATGGCCCACACTGACTGCAGTGGTCCACATGGCGAGGGGTGTGAGAAGCTGTGCCATGTGGTGTGATCTCATACACTCTGGGGGTCCACCCAGCAGCCAGGTCACTGACCACGCCTGTCATCAGGGCTGTTTTTAAGAAGGTCTCTTCTCAGACGGATTTCCCTCAAAGCACTGAATTCTGAAGTAATCTGCTTGTGTACGTTGGAAACTTCCTTTCTTAAAAGTCCTCTCAAAGTTTGTGTAAGAGAAAAAGACCCCAAAGAAAACCAAGGAAATGATGTTGGAACTCCTCCCAGGGGGCGGGTGGCCGGCCAAGTCCCCCTCCAGGGTCCCCACTCCAGCTAGGCCTGAGCAGGTGCTGCCCGTGGTGCAGACAGGTCTAGCAGCCGCCGCTCACCCAAGAGGACCAGGGGTCCCCCAGCCAACGCGTGGGCCACCGTGAGCTGGACAGAACCACTTCAGATGTCCCCTTCTCAGGAATTAGCCCAATCAGAGGGTCAGCAGCCCCCAGGGCTGGAGCATGCCACTTGTGGAGGGGTTTTAAGCCCTCGGGGTCCTTCGAAAGATGCCTGCCGAGCTGGTGACTGGGTCTACAGAGTCCTCGGTAAGTTTAGAAACAGATGTTGGTCTTGGCTTGGGAGCCACCAAGGCCTGTGGGTCAGGTGGGGACAGGGCTGGGTAGTCGTGCAGGGAGAAGTGGACAGACAGTGTATTCTGGCCAAGCTGCAGGTCGGCTGTCCTGTCTTGGGAACAACTTACAAAAAGTTTCAGATTTTTCCTGGAAAACTTGCGTGAGTGGGCCATGGGACTGGCTACTCTTGAGCTGCCCTAGTCACAGAAGCACCAGTCCCTCAAAATCTGAGCCAGGTTTGGTAAAAACTGTAGAGAATCTTGGTGCTTCCTCATGGCCTTGGCCCAGACTGACCCCATCCCTCCCTGGAGTTCTAAGGTTCCCAGGTGAGGCCTTCAGATTCCCAGGTGGTCACAGAAAACAGGACGCCCTCGCCAGTGGGGTGGGTCATTCAGTGCTCTGTCCTGCACCCCATGGCTCCAGTACGTTTGGCCCGAGGGCATGAGCATGGGCGCCGCCGCCCCTGCGCCTGTGTCGCCGACACTGTGGCTGGCCTGCCGTGTCCACTCGCGCAGGCTGTCCACCGACTCCCAATGGGGCAGAGCGGCGCACGCCTGTGGGTTTGACTAGTGCATTTGGCTAACAGGGGAAGGAAAATGATAGTTTTTCATCTGAAGTCTGCAAGGAAACAAGGTCTTCTCCCTTGATCTGTGCAATGGCCGAGGCCTCGCTCAACCTCTGTGCCAGGGAATGCTCTTCCTGCCCCTCAGGGCTGGATAACCCCCTTACACACCCCCATCGCTTCCAGCCCCCAGCTCACGGCTGTCTGGACCCCGCTGTCCCACTGGGCCAGGGACTTACCAAGGCCAAGAGCTGTGCCTTACCCCCCAGAGGGTAAGCCAGAGGCTGCCCTCACCGTGAGCTTCACCTTGACCATGATCGCAGCTTCTCAGACCCGGGACAAGGCAGCTCCCCCAAAGAGGGCTCCCATCTGATCCAAGGATGCTCACGGGTTGTGTGAGAAGGTGCCCTGACCTCCTCGTGTGCTGCTGCTTGTAAAACATGTCAATTTTCTTCTCTGCAAGTAGACTTCCCTTCCCATAATTTCTATTCCTTTTATAACCACTCCCCCCCAAGGGAGAGCTACCAGAACGTTCTCAGCAGCTCAAGGAAAGAGCCATCAGTTGCACGTGAGCCTTAACCTGGGGATAGCCCCCGTCTCCATCGGACTGGCCAGATTCCTTCGTAAGGAGACCTGACCTGCTGCCTTGTGAGCTACTGCAGGCCCACGGGCTTTTCTACTGGGCAAATCCGGACATTTCCACCCTCACCCACCAACACTCTGTGAGCGCTGAGTCCCCAGGACGGTCTCGCACAGGAGCAGTGAGATGCCTAAAGTTTTTAACACTGACCCAGAAAACAAATGGACATTTCTGTTTGTCAGTAAGCAGTTGACAGCCCGTGTGTGCACACGCGTGCGCATCCACGTGTACAAATAAACGACACACACTGGGGAAAGCAGCGCTATTTGGTGAAGGCCGAAGGCGTGTCGAGAGGGAAGGGGTGGAATTACGAGTCGACACGGTGGGCGTTTCAGACGTCACATCTCAATGGTCAGGGGAAGGAAAGGACAGAAGAGAAGGCTCCTTTAGAGGAGACCCATTTATCATTTCCCACTGGCAAACAAGAAAGCAAAGGGAGACGGCTGCTGGGCCTTGAGAGCTGCCCTTTGGTTCCCAGAGAGCTGCAGCCGGTCTGAAGTCAGGGTTGCTAAGGAAACGCTGTCTGCTTGTGGATGGCAGAGCAAACAGACACCTAAGCCTCGGGTAAATCATTAATTCATTGATATTCTCACTGATGGCATCTGGAGAGACAGACGTATTCCTTCTTTCTTCCAAGTCCTCAAAAGTGCTCTTTCATCGCCAGGTAAACACTTGGACGACCACTTTGTGGATAATCATTCCCTCCTGGGCTCACACTCCAGAGACCATGAAGGGCTCCCTCCCGGATTTTAATGGATCAAAGAAAATGGTAAGCGAGGCACAAGTGCGCTTCGCGGTTTTTGGTTTTTGTTTTTTAATTGATGGCTGTGGTTTTTGTCGAGAATGGAAAGTGCATTAAGGAGAGTTTGACGTAAACGCAAAGCTCCCTGCACTTGACCGACGGGGCTGAGGGGAGGGAAGCCAGGCCCACAGCCTTCCCAGGGTCAGGTCTCGCGCTGCAGGGCAGGGCGAGGAGGAGGTGGTGACCAGCGCCAGTTGCAGGTGCCGTTGGGTACAGCTGGCGTGTGTACAGAGGGGCAAGAGCCCAGCGTGGGCAAGGTGACGCCCAGCGGGGGTTGCTGCTGCGACAGGGGGGCGTTCAGCTTCCTATGCTCCGGGCTGCCCCAGTGAGTCAGCACTTTCTCCTCTGGCCACCACCAGCCCTGGGGGGACACGACAGAGGTCAGCAGTTAGTGAGAGGGGGGCATCCCAACAGGCCTTCCCTTGCCGTCAGGCCCTCCTCATGCATCCAGGCCACCTTCACAGAGCCCTCCCTTCTCACCACCACCTCCCTCCCTCAGCTCTGAAGTGTGTCCGTGATCACTGCAAGTGGCCCCCTCCTCTGATGACAAGCCTGGAGTAGCACTGAGGACCGAGAGCTTTCTAGTGATGGAAACACCCGGAGCTGTGTGACCTCTAACACCTGCTCAACCTCTCTGTGCCTGGTTTCCTCCTCCACGCATTCACAGAACCTACCTTGAAGGGCTGCTGAGAGCACCACCTTGGTTTTGGGTGCACCGCTGGTATTAATAGCGACGGAAGCAGAGAGTGGTGGAGAGACTACAGTGTGGCGGCAACTCATTCACCTTCTGTCCACTCCAGATCTGGCACCTTCCAAGCCCCACAGAACCCTAGACAAGGCCTCTGGTCTCGTCTGGTCCACCTCTTCATGTAGGCCCAGCAGGACAAATCATTTCCACCGGACCCCTCTCCTCCAGGGGAGCTTGCTCAGAGATGTGGGACGCAGTGCAGTGCCAACCAGGGGGGAACATAGTGAGTGTTTGTTGATTGACTAATTTCAGCCCTTCAGGAAGGCGCTCCTATGAAGGGAGGTGGGTGAAACCATGGCTGTGTGGCAGTGAAGCCAGAGGGATGTGACAGCAGAAGCCACTGGACAGTCAGCTCTGACACAGGAGAAGGGGCAGGGAGCTTCCTGAAAGAGGGGGCTTTTGAGGTGGGTTTAAAGAATGGAAGGAGGCCCAAGAAGCCCGGGGCAAACCCTTTGAGGTGTGGGGCTCTGAGGGTCAGGTCAGGGCTGCAGGACAGCGGCAGGAAAGAGCTGGAGGCTCCCTACCCTGCAGCTGGCCCTTGCGGGTCTGGCAGGCAGGTGGGCGAGGAGAAACCTCGAGATCTGATCCTGCGTCTCCGAGGAAATCCCCAGAAGGGGGACCGTGGGTGGCCTGTGCGGCTAGCTGGGCACTTTGCATTTGTAGCAGCCACACAGCTCTGAGGAGACGAGAACATGGGGCCTACTTACTTGTGTGCACTCTCCGGGACTGAAATAGGTGGGGGGGAAGCCACCAGAGGGCCGCCCACCCGCCCTTAGAGAGGCAGAGACAGCCCCCGGCAGCATTCTGGGTTTCAGAGAGTCAGGCAGGACCCGGAACTGACATCCTCTGGTGGCCTTCACCCCTCTCAGTCCTGCGCCTCCCTCAGCCACATGCAGTGAACAGGCTGGAGCAGCACCAGGTGCCAGGGCCACCAGGAGGCACAAGGGACAATGGCCCGGGGATTCTGATTCCTGTGGGATGCTGTCCCCTAGAACAGGGTCAGCCATGTGGCCTGTCCATCCCTGGGCAAGGCAAAGGCCTGGAAGGCACAACTGGGCCACCCCCACTGCTTGCTCTGAGAGACGGCAATGGCCAAGTGCAGATCCTCAGGCCCGTCCCCCAGGGCTCCAACCGGAAGGGCCAGGGTGGGGCTCAGAGCTTCCGCCAACACTGCTGGGGCGGAGTTCTGGAGCAGGTGGTCTGCAGATGCAGGGCCTTGGTCCAGGGTCAGTGCTGGAAGACAAGGCTGGGTGGGGCTGGGCCACCATATTTAGGGGTGGAGGTCACTTGACTGGGACAACGCAGGAACACAGGAGTTTGTGGTATGGGCCTTGTGGCTGCCCCTCTCTGCTCTGCAAAGTCCATCATTGGGAAGAATAGAGTCCCCCATTCGCTGGGTGACTCCTAGGCCCTTCAGTGAACCCAGACCTGGCGCCTTCTCAAGCTATAGACATTTCAGAACTGTCACCCCTTCCTCCCATCCCAGAAGGCCTTGAGGACCCATGTGTGCGGAGGTGCCGTGACCCCCTCCCCTTGAGATGCTTGTTGCTTTGGCTTATGGTTTTATTTAAGATAGTCCAGTGTCCTCTTCATAAAAGGAACAGATTCCAAGCAGGGTTATGATTTTGAGCAGCAAACCCCCCTGCATGGGAGACCTGTGTTTTCTCAGGCTCATCCGCGTGCCCATGGGGGTCTGAGAAAGTCCCTGGGTGTGTGCGTGACTCAGAGGCAGGTGGTCAGCGGAGGAAATGACACCAGGCCTCTGCACGGGGTCTCCGCATTCCAGTCCGTGTTCCCACGGTGCCCTGCGTCGTCAACAGCTCCCAAACAGGCCCTCTCCACGGGGAACCCGCCCTCCAGGACAGGCACGGGCTCGTTGCACGTCAGGAGGCTGAGCTCTAACTGACAAATTGGAGAGGTTCCCCAAGGCAAGGGTTACTGAGCTCTGTCATTCTCACTAAAAATGTGATTTATAATATATTCCTATTTGCCAGACACTCCTTTCCCCAGGAATGAACACTTAACACAGAAATGGGAGGCTATCCCAAGGCCTGAGCCCACAGGCGAACACACCCCTCCAAGTGTTCACTGCAAATGAGCAGACGTGCCCAGGCCCCTGGGCAGCATGGCTACGCACGCTTCATTTCGATAAGTCTTCGTATCTTAAGCAAACACTTAAAATTCAGGACAGGGCGAGGGTGGCCCATGATTGATTTTTAGAATTTCACATTCTAAAGGAAAGATCTAAGGGTCTGATGAAGGAGGTCATATTGGATCTCGGGGTGTAGCTCAGTGGGGCCTCCGGCTTAGCGTGCACAAGGCCCCGGGTTCCATTCTCAGCAAAAAAAAAAAAAAAAAAGAAAATGTATTTCCTAACATTCCTTAGAGTTTATAAAAGGAAAACAGTTTTTCTTGCTCCTTCAATCATCTGATATTTCTGAATGCGGCATGGGTCAGATATTGAAGAGCAAGCTGCGCCTTCGGACGGGCTTCCTGAGACCCTTTGTAAAAAAAACACACAAAAGCAGCTAAAGCCGTCTGACTTCTCTTAGGAGTCTGGGTTAAAGTTGCAAACTCATTTTGCCGGAGATAACCAGAAATCCTCTAAGCGGTCTAAGTGGGCAGGACCGGATTTGATCTCTGCATCTGATTGCCTAGCAGAAGTCAAGCAGCCAATGTCTCAACAATGTCTCCATATCATGAAACTTCCTAAAAATCTTCAAGGGAGTAACCTGAGCTCCTGAAAAATGATCTCGAATGTCAACAGGACAAAGCTTCCCAGGCCTCCCTATTTGACTCGACAGGAATCTTGTTTCTCTGTGTGCTCTGGAGGGCTTCTGTCTTTGTTAAGAGGAATGATTAAAAGAATTTACATATAGTAATCATTTAAAATTGACTTCACTCAATAGGAGCTATTCATTTTACTGTTGTGTGTGTGTGTGTGTGTGTGTGTGTAGATACCTGTTTTTCTAGGCAATACACAGCTTTTATTTCATTGTGTGCATAAACCCTGACCCAGGACACTCCGGCCACGGAGCGCGGGACTGACATCCAGCGTCCACAGCCTGATGTGCAGGTGGTCAGATGCGGTCTGGAGTTCTGTGCCGCTTGGCCAGAGAAACACGGATAAATGCGGTGTCGCCTAACAGGGGCTCTGGAGACGTCCCTGAACACTGGCGGAGCAGCAAGACGAGACTCTTTGTTGTGTGCGCCGTACGTCCCCAGCTTCCTCTCACCACTAGGTGGCGGTGGCCGCCTCCCTCCTCCAGGTGTGCTGCGGAAAGGTCCCCAGACCTGCCTGGCTGCCCCGCGGGGCAGGGCGTCGGCTAGAACCGAGGCAGGCGCTCAGCTGACCCGACGGGGCTTTCCGGGACGGCGAGGGCGGTTCGCAGGCCCCACTTGAAAAGCCACGGTCATTCGAAGGCGGAACTAGCACAGACGGGGCAACACTGTGACACCGGGTGTGACCTGCGGCGCGGCCCCTCCTGGAAGGACTGTGGCGCGCGGCCCACGTGCAGACGGGCGCCTTCCTCCCACATCCCACAGGTGGTCCTCCGAGTTCTCTGAGCGTGTGCCCCTGCAAAGTAGGATGTCGCGGACCTGCTGCGAGGGTCGGGGGCGGCCAGGACCGAAGCACAGGCCACTGCCGCACCCTCTCCCGCTGCTGGATTGACACCAGGGTCTCCCCGCGGATGCCTGGACCAGGCCAGGACCCAGCGTCCTTGCACAGTGCTCCCCCGAGGACCCTGGGGCGAACTTGGGGAGCTGAGCCCCTGCCCAGGCTCCCCGGCACTTAGTCCTGGGCGGTAAGACCCCCAGCCTGCCCACCTGAACCTGCCCCCAGCCCGCCCCCATTCAGCTTGCCCCCTGAGCCTGACCCTTAAGGCTGTCCTCCGACCCACCTGTCCCCTAAACCTGCCCCCACCAAGCCTGCTCCCCCCCACCAAGCCTGCCCCCTTGCCTGCGGGGCCTCCCCACCCGCGCCGCGCGCCCACCCCGGGCCTGCCGGCCTGAGCCGCTTCGTCTGCGGAAGCGCTTCCCGGGGCGGCCGCCAGGTGGCACCCTGTGGCCTCGGGTGGCGGCTTGCTGGACCCCAACAGCCAGCGGTAGCTTTTTCAGACAGACATTGTCTCCGGCTTCCTCCCCCTTTGTCACAGTGTACTGCCAAGGTGTTCACGGCACAGTGCTGTGGCTCCCGCATTGGGAACACCTAGGACTCGTGGAAATGATCAACCATGAGCGCCCAGAGGGAGCAGGACCGGCCGCAGGGGTCTCCCGGCCCCCTGTGTCTGGCCCATGGTGCCATCTCTCCCTGCCCACCATAAGGACATGCTGGGCACACCTGCCTGGGTTTGTCTCACCTTCTAGATGGTGAGGGATGATTATTTCCCACGTGTTTGTTCCCTACACTGACGTCTTTGAAGGGGATTTTATTTTTTAAAATTATAGGTAACTGACAAAGAAACATTCAAAACCAATAATAGCTCTAAACACAAAAGTCAGAAAGCAAGCCCAGCCCCGGCACATGCCTGTGAGCCCAGCGACTCCGAGGCTGAGGCAGGAGGATCACAAATTCACAAGTTCAGCCTGGGCAACTTAGCAAGACCCTGTCTCAAAATTTAAAACACCAGAAAAGAGCTGAGGATGTGGCTCAGTGGTCGAGCAGCTCTGGGTTCAATCCCGAGTACTGCTAATACCAACATTAGAAAGCAAGGAGGCAAGTGTCAAGACTGGCCCTGTCAACTTGCATTGTGATGGAAGCTTTGGTGGCCACAGAAAGTGGGTGGAAAGCCTCCCAGATGCAAAGCAAGGGGTGTGTCCTGACTTAGAGGTGGACACAATAGACACCTGTGTGAGCAGAGCCCTCTGGCTGCAGAGGTCAACCAGGGATTCCTGCAGCCCGGTACATCATAAGAGCTGCTCTAAGCCCCTGGTCTTGCTTCCTGACGCCTCAGGTCATGTGCAAACACCTCCTCTCCCAGGACCCTAAGTAAAAATTTTAAAAAAGAAAGAAAAAGGCCAAACCATCAATTACTTCACATTTTTGTTCTGTGTTGGTAGGGTTGTGTGTGGCATTGAAAACAAAACAAAAACAGGGCTGGGGATGTGGCTCAAGCGGTAGCGCGCTCGCCTGGCATGCGTGCGGCCCGGGTTCGATCCTCAGCACCACATACAAACAAAGATGTTGTGTCCGCCAAGAACTAAAAAATAAATATTAAAAATTCTCTCTCTCTCTCTCTCTCTCTCTCTTAAAAAAAAAAAAAAAAACAGAAATAATAGAAACAGAAGAAACACCTGAGGAATGGGGAGAGGTCATTCTGATGAGTGTCCACCTTTGGGGGTCTCCATCCCCCACCATCAAGTTGTGTGACATGACCATTCTGAGGAAGCAGATGACAGAGATGGCCATGCAGGTGGGGGAAGGTGTCAGGTGTGATGAGAGCCAACGCTGAGCACTGGCCACCGCCCCCTTTTGCTGAGCGCTCATGCCAGCCATGATCCATACCCACCTTTTGGGTGCAGCCGGTGGCCAGTGCTGGAAGCAGGGTGTGGACATGAGCCTCCTGACTCCAGAGCCCTTTTTACCCACAAGTCTCCTGGACAAACCTCCACCTGAAGGCCTGAGTGGCGTGAGTAATGTGACACGAAGTGAGCTTTCTCCACAGCCCCAACCGCAGGGGTCCATGATGGCAGGAGCACTGTGTTCGGAAGCTGGGGCAGTGTTTGTCAACTTGCCTGAGATTAAACCACCCCCATTTGAAACAGTTCTCCATGTCCATATTTGTTCTCCCAACAGCCCTGGGCAGTGGGTAAAGCAGATGCTAACAGCCCATTTTACAGATGAGGAAACAGAAGCTAATCAAGGGTGGAGTAAAGCTTGACATAGCCAGTGCATGTGGGAAGGCGCCGTGGGCATGCTTACTGGAAGGGAACCAGCACAAGGGAGGGTTGTTTCCCCCGCTCCCCATCTTGCTTTCTGAGGCTTCGGTTCCCTGAAAATACTACATGGGAATACTAACACTTCAGCCTGAAAATGCTAAATGGAAAATTCCAGAAATAAATAATTCATAGTTTTAAACTGCATGCCACTCTGAGCAGTGTGGTGAACTCTCACACTGTCTGCTCTGTCCAGCCTGGGAAGTGAATCATTTTTCTGTCCAGTGTATCCACACTGTATATGCTACCCACTCTTAGTCCTTTAGTGACTTTTTAGTCATCAGATCAACTGTCCACATGGCAGTGCTATGTTCAAATGCCCTTTACGGAGTAGCCTAAGGCTGTTTACAATGCCTGCATCTTCCCTTTATCTCATCACATGTTTTGAGAGAAAAATACCATATTTGCATAACTTTTATTATAGCATATTGTTATAATTGTTCCGATTTACTATTAGTTTTTGTTAACTTTTTTTTTTTTTCACTGCTAGGGATTGAACTAGGGCCTCACACATGCTAGGCAAGTGCTCTACCATTGAGCGACATCCCTAGCACTTTTTATTTTATTTTGACTCAGGGCCTCACTAAATTGCTAGCCTCAAACTTGCCATCTTCCTGCCTCAGCTTCCAGAATAGCTGGATTATAGGTGTGCGCCACCACTGTGCCCCAATATTCTTACTGGGCCCAGTTTCTAAATTAGACTTTATCACAGGTGTGTATGTATAGGAACAAGACATGATACATATGGGATCCCATACTTCTGTGACTTTGGGCATCCGCAGGGGTCTTGGGACATGTCCCTGTGGGTGAGAACAGGCATTGAGCTATGAATCGTGGTTAATTTCAACTAATATTTACATGATAATTATAATGCCCCTGTTGGGTATTGTTTTCCCTGACTTACTGAGGCTGAGAGGACATGAGGTCCCCCACCATGGCCAGCAGAGCCAAGCCTAGAACCCAATACAGGTGACGACAAAGCTGTGCCACTTGTGTCTCTCCGAGGGCTCCCCGACCCTCTGTCCTCTGCACCGCGGCCCACCTCCGGGGCAGCCCTTCCTCAGCACTCTGCTCAGGGCTATGGTGCCCACCTAGGCAGGATTTTCACTCTGTAAATAAACACTGTGGACATCGGCTGGGGGCAGTTGTGGTGGGTGCTTGCCCAGCTTGTGCCAGGCCCTCAGCACTGGAGCGACAGTGAAAGGAAGAATGGGGGCAGGGAGACAGACAGACAGAGACAGAAAGACAGAGGGAAGGAGGAAGGAAGGAGGGGATGTGGACCCATGGACACAATCACTGGTGAGGGTCCATATGGCCCATGGGGATGATGGACGCTGTGCCAGCCACGAGGAGGAGGAGGTGGACGACAGGGGGGCGGGGGCAATGGTGGGGGGTTTAAAGTGAGGAGGGTTTGGAACAGACGTTCCGTTGGGCAGAGGCTTCGTGGGGGAGGACCATGGTTCTCACACCAGCAAGAAAAGAGGACACAGCAGCAGACGTGGAGGGCGGAGGTGCGGGCGAAAAGCACAACTGTGAGTCACGGGCTGACAGAAGCCAGACACCCTGCACACAAGGCTCCAGGGGGCTGCCAGATCTGCCCGTCCCTTCCCACACCTCCCCGGCCGGTGACCTTCACCTCCGCTGCACTGTGGCTGCCCACGCCCTGGGCCCTGTCATCACCGGGACAGTTCCAACTGCTCTCCGTGAACCCACTCCCTGACCACAGCTTCCGAGGCTGCCAGTCCTCTCACGCCTCCGCCCCTCTCTCCCTTGACCTTGTCCTGATCCCGGCTCCTGTACTTTCCCACGGCATCAGCGCCCCTGGCTCCCCACCGCCAGGCCTCTTGACCACAGGGGACATCTCTCAGCCATTCTCTGCCAGAGCCCTCAACTGCTTGGCCCTTGTCCTTCCGCCCTCCTCATCCGGAAAAACCCAAGCCAGGGATTTTGTAGCACCTGTCTCCTCCCCCTCCCACCTCTATACCAGTGGAAGAAAGCCCACACCAAGGACGTGGTGCCCACAGGCCACGGCACCCAGGGTCAGCTGCGTCTCGCGCGCCTCGGCTCCTCCCCCAGCACCTTTTCCAAACCTGCACCCTCTCCCCCAGCAGATGGCTCTGCCTTCTAGCTCACAGGAGGACACGGGCGCGAGCCGGTGCAGACGCCCTTGGCTCTGAGTTCCCCTACCAAGGGCACACTCTCCAAGCACGCACCCCGCATGCACAGGGAGGCTCCAAGGAACACAGCAACCTGCCCAAGGGTGTGCGTGTCCCAATCCTGAGCCACTTCTCCTTCCACATAAAAGGGATGGCTGCCCTGTCCCGCTTTTGACCTGCATCCACCTGTCAAGTGTGGTAGGCAGAATAATGTCCCCCAGAGAGGTCCCCTGCCTGACCCTTGGCCTCACAAGTATGTTAAATCACATGATGAGGGGGGTTGAGGTCACTCACCTGCTAATTTTGAGATGGAAGATTGTCCTGAACTATCTGGGCGGGTCCAGTGTAATCACAGGGGTCCTCATGTGAAAGAGGGAGGTGGGGGGTGTGTTCACACCAGATGATGTCGTGATGGAGACCAAGCCAGAGGATGGCACTGTCAGAGGAGCCCTTCCGCCCTGTGTTGCTGGCTCTAGAGGTGGAGGGATGTGGGTGCTCTGCGCTGGAACAGGCAGGGAGACAGAAACAGACTCTTCCTTGGCATCTCCAGAAGGAGCCAGCCCTGTCCTCGCCTCCCTTTTAGCCCAGTGAGATCCATTTCAGTCTTCTGAACTCCAGAGCAGTAAGACATTAAATTTGTGTTGCTTTAGGCAACTCCATTTGGGGTAAGTGCTAGTCAGCTTTTTGTTGCTGTGACCAAAATATGTGCATTAACAACTTGGAGAAGGAAAAGTTTATTTTGGCTCAGTTTTAGAGGTCTCAGTCCATGGTTGGCCAACTCCATTACTCTGCGTCTGAGGTGAGGTGGAAGGGTGTGTCCGAGAAAAGCAGCTCAGATCATAGCAGCTGGAAGCAGAGAGACACAGAGGAAGGGGACAGAGACAAGATGAATCCTTTCAGAGCATGCAGCGGTAATCCACTTCCTCTAGCTCAGACCCGTCTCCCAATAATGCATTCAACCAATCAGATGGATGAATCCCCTGATGAGGTTACAGTTCTTGTGGTCCAATCATCTCCTAAAAACCCTGCCTCTGAACATGGTGACATTGGGGACCAGGCCTTTTACACATGAGATTTTGAGGGATATTCCATTTTCAACCATAACGGGATAATTTGTTATGTCCATCACCAGAGACCAATAAACCAGCTCATCCCACACGTGACCCAAACCTGCTTTTCCGCTTTTCCCTGTGATCACACAGAATTCCCACTCACGTTGCCATGGGTGACAAGAACTTAAGAACATGTGCCAGTGCAACAGTGGAGGGTGACATGAGTTTGGGGCCCTGGTTTGTGCTACTTATAGTCGGTGTTTCCAGGGAGACACAGCAAGTTGTAGGTTCTGTGGACCAAAGAATGGAACCCACAGACACCAGAGGGCTAGAACAAAGGAACAGAAACATCAAGCAGAGGTCTGCAAGGGGGATCCCAGAGGGTCGCCTCAAGCTGCTGCTGTCCAGTGGTGCATGTGGCAGTCCTGGAGGTGGACTTGAAAGCTATTGGCTAATGATTTTGAGAGAGGGGAGTTTCTACCTCCGATCAGGGGGAGACACTTGGTGATCCTGCTCCCCCTGTCAATCGAGGTGTTTACCATGTCTGTTGGGGTGCTTCACCACATGCCATCTGGCTCCTCCTGGACGGTACAGGAATCGTTGCAATCCAGGCCAGCCTTGTCCAGCATCTCTCTGGCTCCTGCTCTCACCAGCACTAAACCTCACGGGATCTCTTCCATCTTGGAAGAACCACGGTTGCTGCTGGAGGGCCTCATGCAGTCCAGCCCATGATGGGCAGTGCCAGGCACATGGTCATTTGAGGTCCTGGTCAGGGGCTCCATATCTACCAGGGCCCATTAGCATGCCAGGAGCCTTTTTCTTTAAGTTTCATGACTTTGGGTAAATTTATTCTGTTGTGCAGTTGTCACCGTAATCCAGCTCCAGAGCACTCCCGTTGCCCCCAGTACTTCCATTTGTGATCCCTTTACAGTCTGTTTCGAGACCATTTGTGGACTATTCCTGACCCTGCCTCTGACCCCAGGCAAATTCAGATCTACGTTTCTAGCTCTAGAGTTTTTGCCTTTTCTGAATATTTCATAGAAACGTGATCACACGACAGGTGGTCTTCTTGGTCTGATGTCTTTCCCTTCTCCCAGTATATTTGAGGTCCACCCATGTTGTTTATACGCCCCCTCTGGCTGGGCTGAAGTGTGAGCCCTGGGGATGCTGCAGGTTGGTGCCCTCACGGCCTCTAGGTCTTGCTTCACGAATTCCCTCTCGGGGCACCTGCAGTCTGCATATTTAGTCCAAGACACGACGGGCTTCCCAGCTGATCTCTGGAGTTCCTTCTCTGCAGAGCTCGGACCTCTGGAAACCCCAGCCACCTGGCTTGGCCATCTGTGACCTCCCTCCTTTATTCGCGGGGTCTGCCTTACTCCTTGGCAGCTGCTTCCTGTGCTACAGTGTGGGAGGGAGAGAATGCACGTGGGCAGGAGGGCTGGGTGACCATCAGGACCACCTCACAGTCTCTTTGTTTCCCAGGGATTTCAGGCCCAGGCTGCATGCTATTCAATGTCTGGAAATTTTTTCACGTTTTTCATGTACCTTGTTCAGTGTTCTAGGTCTTATAACTGGAATGCAAGTCGACCACCAGTTAGCCTCTGTGGCCAGCCATGCTTCTTTTGTTGGTGAAAATTCTCACCTGTTTAATAATACATAATAAGATTCTCCTTTCCAAAATGCATGGCTTGGTGAATTTTGGTAATTGTATAGGATTGGTTACCACCATCACCATCAGGAAAGAGGACAGTTCCCCCTTCCACTCCCCTCCTCCATCCCAAGCAATATACTGATCTGCTGTCTGTCACTAAAGTGTTCCCTTCTCTATAATTTCATACAATGAAATAAATTGTGTTGAATTTTATCAAATACTTTTTATACCATGAAATTTCACCATCTTTTGTGTTTGAGACCCTTCACTGAGCATGCTGTTTTTGAGATTCATCCCCATTGTCCTCTGTGTTGATATTTTGTTTCCTTCCATTTCACCACCTGATGGAATTTGGTGGCTCCTGGTTTGGGGTTATGATGAATAGCGTCCCTGTGAACATCCGTGCACCCAGGTTTGTGCAGGCATATCTGGGAATGCTGGCACATGTTGTAAGTATAGCTGAACTTTTAAAGGTATCGCCATGCTGTTTTGCAAAGTGACCATGTCAATTTGCATTCCCACTAGCAAATGTGTAAGAAGAGTTACAGTTGCCCTCATTCTTAGCGACACCTGTTATTCATGTTTAACTTTAGCCTTCTTAATGAGTGGGCAGTGATAGCCCATTGATTTCCCCTTTGAATTACCTTGGCATTTTGGTCAAAAACTAGTTGACCATATAAATGTGTTTTTTATTTCTGGTCTCCCTGTTCTATCCCATTGATCTACATGACAATTCACACTGTGTTGATAACTGAAGCTTTATGGTGAATCTTCAGATCAAGTTGTTCTTCTTCAAATTGTTTTGGTAGTCTGGCTCTCTTACCTTTTCATGTACATTTAAAATCAGCTTTTCAAAGTCTTTGTGCAAAGACTATTAACATTTTAATTGGAATTACATAGACTCTAGAGATGAACTTACCCTGATATCTTGAGGATATGAAATCTTCCAGAACGCAGGCATGGTGTGTCTTTCCACTGAGTTAGGTCTTCTTAAAGTTTCCTTTTGTCAAGGTTTTATTGTATAGGTCTTCCACATCTTTCATTAAATAAATCCCTGGGTGTTTTCCGATGTTTTAAAAGTGAAATAATTTTTAATAGAATGTGTAACTGTTCATTGTCAGGATACAGAAGTGCAATTGACTTTCACCTGTTAACTTTGCGTCCTGCAACCTTGTAACAGTCACCTGCTAGTTCTAGTGGTGTTTGAACAGACCCTGGGGTTTTGGACAGAGTTGGCATCTGCATAAAGGACACTTTTACTTCTTGCCTAATGCGTGTGTCTTTTACTTCTATTTCTGGCCATGGTAAGATGCATGGTAAGATGCAGTGAGAGAAGGTACCCTGGCCTTGTTGCTGGCCACGCACCCTAGCACTGAGTGTGACATCAGGTGTAAGATGTGTGTGTTAAGAAGCTCTTAATTAGGTTTTGACTTGTATTTCTAGGTTTCTGAGAGTTTTTTCCAAGAAGGGAGGGGGTGTTGAATTTTGTCAAATGCTTTTTCCTTTATCTGTTGAGATTATCATATAGCTTTCTCTTTATTGCATCAATACGGTGAATCATATTCATTTTTTAAACTCACCATATATTCTGAAGATATGCCCTATTTGCTCCTGCTGCTTTTCTATATTGTTTGATTTGTTAATATTTTGTTAAGGATTTTTGTGTCTATCATCTTGAGGATGTGGGTCCGTGGTTCCTTTTTCTTGAGTGGTCTTTGCCTGGTTTGTAGTCAGGATGATAAAGCCTCATAAAGCTCATTGGAAGTGTTGCCTCTACTTCCTGAAAGAGTCAGTGTAGGACTGAGCTATTTCTTCCCATAGCACAGGCAGCCTTTACTTCTGAAGCCCCGTCAGTCTGGAGTTTGCTTTATGGGAAGCACTGTTCTTTTTTTATTTATTTTTTCCTAATAAATTCAATTTAAGATTGTTCAAAGTTTATATTTTTCTTAGATAAATTTGGCAATTGTGTCTTTCAAGGGCGATGCCTGGGGTTCCTCTGATGTCTTGTCCCTCCGCCTGCAGATTCCCCTTAGCGTTTCTGAGGGTCAGGAATTCTCTTACTTTTATCTGAAAATGTCTTTGTTTTCATCCCTGAATCACATTTTTCTGGATGCAGAATTTCTGATTAATAGTTTTGTTCCCTCAGCAGTTTAAAAGTGTTGTCCCACTGTTTTCTGGCTCCATAGTTTCTAAGTCGGCCACAGCTCAAGTCCTTGTGCTCCTGAGGCTGAGGCTGTCCCTCTCCTGGCTTGCAGCAGCGGGTGCCCAGGGGTGTCTCTGCGTTCACTGTGCTTGCTGTGAGTCTAGCATCTCGTGTTTGTGAGGTTCATCAAACTTGGAAATCAAGTACATTTTTTGGTCTTCTTTTCTCTCTTAACAGTCCCTGAGGTTCTTGTTCTTTGTTGTATTTTATTTTTATTTTTTTTAATTTTTTAATATTTATTTTTTAGTTTTTTCGGCAGACACAACATCTTTGTTTGTATGTGGTGCTGAGGATCGAACCCGGGCCGCAAGCATGCCAGGCGAGCGCGCTACCACTTGAGCCACATCCCCAGCCCCTCTTTGTTGTATTTTAATGTCTTCTTTTTTCCTTATCCTTAGACATTTTCCTGTCCATCTATTTAGCTGTCATTTATCTACCCAGGGGTTCCATTTCAATCATTCTTCTTTCATGGCCGTCAGCTGTTAAATACCCCCAGTGAAGTGTGTGTGTGTGTGTGTGTGTGTGTGTGTGTGTGAGAGAGAGAGAGAGAGAGAGAGAGAGTGTGTGTGTGAGAATGTTACTAGTAATTGAACCCAGGAGCACTCTACCACTCTACCACTGAGCCAAATCCCCAGTCCTTTTTATTTATTTAAATCTATTTTTATGTGGTGCTGAGGATTGAACCCAGTACCTCACAGGTGCTAGGCAAGCACTCTGCCACTGAGCCACAACCCCAGCCCCAATCCTTTTTATTTTGAAACAGGATCTCACTGAGTTGCTTAGGGCCTTGCTAAGTTGCTGAGGCTGGCCTTGAACTTGCCTCAGGCACCTAAGTCTGTGGGACTACAAGAAGCCACTGCAGTCAACTCCAGTGAACTTTTAATTTCAGAAATTATGCTTTCCAGGGTTATAATTTCTATTTGGTCCTATTTTATTGCTTCTATTTCTCTGCTGAGCTTTACCATTTTTCTCTTGGGTTTTTTTTTCCATATACATATATAGTTGTAGATGGACACAATACCTGTATTTATTTGTTCTTATGTGGTGTGAGGGTTGAGCCCAGTGCCTCGTGCGAGCTAGGCGAGCGCTCTTCTGCTGAGCCAGACCCCCAGCCCTCAAGTCGTGTTTTGTTTTACTTCATTTAGTTTTGAAAGTTGCTTTAAAACCTGTGTCTGTGGACTGTAACCCTGGCGCATTTCCAGGGTGGATTTTATTGCTTTTCTTCTCTCTAACAGAGTTTTCCACGTTCCTGTTTCTTTCTACGTCAGGCTGCATTTGGATCCTGCGATGTTGGGCTGCAGGGTTTCTGGATTCAGTTATTTTCCTGTTTTGAGTGTTGTTTCCTTTTTTGCAGGCTGTTTTCTTGCATGGGTTCCAATTGAAGACTGTTCTAGGGGAAGCCCTGGGCTGGCTTCAGACCCTTTTCTTTAGCCCACCAACTCGGGTCCGAGTGACATGGTTCTGTGGGAAGGGAGACACGGACAGAATGAACATGGGGATCTCCTCTTGACCTTTTTCTTCTGCGGTCTGCTCTCTCTCTTCAGTGTGTCCCATTTTCATGTTCACTCTTATGTTCCCCAGGCCAGAAAGATGCAGGGTTTGCATGTGTGTCCCCATCGCCGCTGTGTACACCCACGTACGACAGCTGGCCCAAGCCCACAGCTCCCCTCCCTGCTCCTCCTGATGAGCATGGCCCCCTCAAAGGGGTCTGTCTGCTTCGCACACTCGCAGACACCTGTGGGGGTGGTTTTCTTGAAGCATATCTATTTGAGGACTGTTTACTGGGGGCTGAGTCTTTGTCATGCTGCCCAGTGGTGGGAACGAGCTGAGCATGTCCACAAAGCCCTGTGAATAGCACTGTGTGCGCTCACTGATGGCCCCGTTCGGAATGGCACTTGTAAGGCTCTTTTCCAGTTTTCTGCCAGATGTTTGAAACTGGGGGCTTGATACCAGATAATGTCAATACTAATAAAGGAATTCCGGGTTCAGCCTTCTGTGGTGTTGGCTGCTGGCTGGGACGTGTAAGGCAGAGGTGATCTTTGAACAGGAGGGACCCCTGGGCCCCTGCCCACAGAGGGGATGTGGGAGCACTGGCTGGGAGCGAGGGTGGAAAGCTTCTGGGGGTATTGGGAAGGCTGGGGCAGAGCCGGGTCATGAACACTGCAATTCTTCATGTACTAAGCCCCTGGGAGTCACTGCTTCTTGTTGTTCTGCACAGGGACGGTCATTTCATGAGGCCAACTTGCTCCTCACCCCGCACTCTTCACCCCATCTTGGCTGGGATGTCTTTGCGGTTCAGCACCCGTGGCTGGCAGCTGTTTATATTTTCAGAACGCTTCCTCTAGAGAATGTAGCCTGCTCAAATTCTCACTCTGTTAAAAATAAGCTTGGTTTCTTACACCTTCTTATCAGCTTTTGTCCTTTTCTGCAGTTTCACCAGGATGTGTCTATTTGTAGATTTCTTTTCACCTTCTCTGCTTCGATTTCACTGAGCTTCTTGAGTCTGTAGTTTGGGGTCTAAAGATTTCTGTCCTATTTCTCTCTTTTGGAGACTCTAGCTATGTCTGTCAGACATTCTCAATCTATTCTCTGCCTCTTAGTCCTTCTGTATTCTCATACTTTTATTTCTTCATGTTGGATAATTTCTTCGGACCCATCTCCAATTCATTTATTCTCTCCAACCTGCTGTGAATTCCATCCTTTGGGTTCTTTTTTATTATTTTTTTTAATTAAAAAAATTTTTTAGTTGTTGCCACAATACCTTTATTTTATTTTTTTTGTTTTTATGTGGTGTAAGGATTGAACTCAGTGCTTCATGCGTGCTAAGCAAGGGCTCCACCACTGAGCCATAACCTCAGCCCCCTGCCCTCTTTTCCAACCCAGATTTTGTTTTCTTTCTCAACACACTGCGTTTCACAGCTCCATTCCTTGCTTGGACTTTTGAGTTGCAATCTACTCCTTTGAACAATGCACATGCTGTGTCATTGCCTCTGCCTGAGAATTCCAGGTTAAGTCCCCCTGCCTCAGTATCTGTCACACGTTGCTTCTGCCAGTTCTCAGGTGTCTTGTCATCCTGAGGACTAGCTATTTTTGTGTTGTTCACTGTATTTGAGAATTTTTATAGGAATAGTTGGGTGGCTAGGATCTTTCTCCAAAGATATTTTTTTAAAAAAAAATTTTTTAGTTATACATGGGCACAATATCTTTATTTTGTTTATTTATTTTTATGTGATGCTGAGGATCGAACCCAGGGTCTCACATGTGAGAGGCGAGTGCTCTACAGCTGAGCCCCAACCCTGGCCCCTCCAAAGATGGTTTTTATTTGCTCCTGCCATCTAAGTGCAGCATGTGACACCATTCTGGTTTTTCTTTCCTTTCTTATTTTTTTCTTTTTGGTCCCAGGGATTAAATCCAGAGGCACTCAACCACGGAGCTACATCCTCAGTCCTTTTTACTTTTTATTTTGAGATAGGGTCTTGCTAAGTTGCCCAGGCTGGCCTCAAACTCGAGACTCTCCTGCCTCAGTCTCCTGGGTTGCTGAGATTACAGGTGTGCACCACTGCTCCTGGTGGTTTTATTTTTGTTTTGTCACTCGGAGGATGACTTTAAGTAACTTGACATGACCGAAGTGAAACTTCTTCCATTTTCTGAAACTTACTGAAAAAGGCAGGAACCACCCTTTTCTCCACGCTTGGTAAAGCTCGCAAAGTCAGTGGGTCTAAGGCCGTTCTCAGTGCTTCATTTTCTGGAAAGCATTTTCACCTTTTGCCTGCCGAGTGCACATATTATTATTTAGGATTTAGGTGATACTTTCTCTGGTTAGCTTTCTTCACCTCTCCTGTTCCCTAGCTTTTTTCTGGTATTATTATAATGAATCATCTCTCTGTCTCTACTTCTCTATTCCCTTAATAGACCCAGAACTTACTGATGGGTAATGACTATTATTTATTTGTCTTTACAAAACTAGTTTCTAAAATGGTCCCTGATAAATGCTCTAAAGTATTGGCCAAGGCTTACTTTGTGTCCGTCACTGTGGTGGCATGTTCGCCTGGTTTACTCAAGGTAGTTATATAACATAAAAAGATGCCACTGAACCCTGAACTACTAGCTTGGTTCCTTCAGTTCAGGTAAGGCGGAAAATCGCTAGTCTTTCTGAGTGGTTGACCCCATCCACCACTGACCACCTTGACTTCCTGTGGTTTCCTTACCCTTACTACTTCTCTTCTGTCCTAATTATGACACTTTTAAAATCTTCTCTTGTGGCTTTTTCTTCCTCCTTTTCCATACTCTTTTTCCACACTTTTTGTTTGGATTGTTGTGTTTTCTCCTAGATTCATGCCATTTCTTTTCTCCTTTCTGAAAATACAGCATATCTAAAAAAAAAAAAAATCTTTGTTCATTAACTCAGTTCATATTTATTGAGCCATTACCACAGAGTGGATCTTCTCCCAGGTGATGGCTGGCGATACAAAAGTAAACTCAACAGGGCTGGGGTCATAGCTCAGGGGTACAGCGCTCACCTAGCACATGTGAGGCACTAGACTCGATCCTCAGCACCACATAAAAAATAATATAAAGGTTCTGTGTCCATCTCTGCCCTTCTGGAGCTTGTAATTCTAGCAATATACACAATAGATAGCTAGGATCTTTCTCCAAAGATGGTTGAAGGGTTAACTTGCCCAGAACAGTGAAAGAAAAAGCTGCTTTTATGTGAACTTCTATAGACTGTGAACTTCTGAGCCCCTCCCCTTCCAAGCTGGTATAAAATTCTGAAACTACCTAAACTGGGTGTGGGTGTGCACACCTGTAATCCCAGCAACTCGGAAGGCTGAGGTAGGAGGATCACAAGTTCAGAGCCAGCCTCAGCCATTTAGTGAGACCCTGACTCATAATGATTTTTTTTAAAGGGCTGGGGATGTAGCTCAGTAATAAAATGCCATGATAGAAAAGAAAAACAAAATAGATAAGTAACAATAAATAAAATAATTTAATTCCATCACATAGGTAGTGTAAAATGCTACGATGAGCTGGGTTTGGGGGCACATGCCTGTAATCCCAGTGCCTAGGGAGGTCGAGGCAGGAGGGCAAGTTTAAAGCCAGTCTCCATAACCTAGTCAGACTGTCTCAAAATAAAAAGTAAAAAGGGCTGGGGATGTGGCTCAGTGCTTAAGTGCTCCTGGTTTTAATCTCAGGCACCCCCATTCCCCACAAAAAAATCCTGAGGCAGGAGAGCTGAGGCAGAATGGAGGAGGGAGGCTGAGTAGATGAGATCTTAGTAGGGAGGGAAGAATTTGACCATTTCCAGGCTTTGGCATGGAAGAACTTGAACCTTTACTGAATGGAATCAAAATCCACTAGAGGGTTTTGGGCAGAGCAAAATGTTGACATATTTTTAGAGGATCTAGAATGTAAGGACAAGACCAATCAGAACCATGTTGCAATGTTATAGGCAAGAAATTGTGGGGAATGTTTCCTGAAAATTCAGAGTTTTGTTTTATAACTGAGAATAGAAAACTAAGTATACTTTCTATCTTCTGCTCAAGGAAAAAACGGTGAGACTTTTGGCCTGCTAGCCTAAGAATTGTCTTGAGCTCTGGTAGGGGATGTGATGTCTGGCATCTAGTGAGCAAATGAACGTTTGTGGAACGGATGGGTAGTGGCACCCGCTCCTCCCCCAAAAATCTTAACTGGGCTTGTCCAAAAATCTTCACCATTGCTGATTTTAGGACTGTCAGCAAAAGAGTCCCCACCAAAAAGTTCAATGTAGATAAACTTCCTATTTTCGTGTTGCCCTATCTTACTTGGCCGCTAGCCTGGAAAAAATAGGAACTGGATGTGCTGGACACTCCGTTATTAGTTTTTCACAAACATGTATCCAGTATAGTAGTTTGTAGAAATGTGTAAACCAGGCCTCTGGCCTTGAGCTGGGCTTCACACAGATGTCTACATTTCTAAGAAAAGAGAAGTTACCCACTGGGCTCCTTGGTAACAGCTGGCAGGGGAGGAATGACAGGAGTAGACATCAAGGATGAATAAACAGCATAAAGCAGCAGGAGAACTTGTTTGAACTTGTTTTGGACTTTGTAGTGGCTTTGCAGTGACTGAGTGATTTTTAGTTACAAACATGCTCTGGCTGGAAGATGACTAGATAGTGTGTACGTGTTAGATAAGTTGAAGAAGATGATGTAATGTAGGCAGTATGCCTATGATAAGTAAATGATGTAAGGTAGAGGTAGTATGCCAATGTTAGATAAGTTAGTAGTGAATGATGTAATGCAAAACATATAGAGTATATAAGCGCGAGGGAAACTCCATGTATTTGCTCACAACTAACTCTCGTCGCCTGAGAGTAAGATCGTGCAGTTGTGTGCCAGCCACCTCGTGTATTGCTTTGTGTGGTGTGCGAATAAACCAGCATTTCAAAAGGCAATCGAGTTCGTGCTTGGTGTTCGCGTACGTCGCGGTCCGGGGTCCAGTGCAGATATCCGGAAGGGAACTCCTGGTAACCAGACAAGGCTGAGAAGCTGCTCGTGACAGTGAGAGAAAGGGGAGAAGCTCTCCCCTTCTCAGGTGCTGTCCTTGGAGGTTAACATGCCCAGAACAGTGAAAGGAAAAGCTGCTTTTATGTGAACTTTTGCAAACTGTGAACTTCCGAGCCCCTCCCCTTATTTTCTGGGTATAAAACTCTGAAACTCCCTGAACTCGGGGTTCAGGGGATTGATTACAGCAAAAACTGTGCCCTCTGGACCTGGCTGCAGCCAAATGAAAGGGTTTCCTGCTATCTTCGGTGCCTTGCCTCATCTGCCCCTACAACAGACGAACATGTAGCCAGAAAACAGAAACTGAATGACAGCATCAGGGATCTGGGTTGTGCCAGCTCTAGTTATGTTTGTTGTGTCTTTAAATCTCATTCAACAAAGAATGACCAAAGTGCCACACTTGAACACACTCCTAGTCTTCAATTAATATGTGGAGGCTGTGTGTACATATTTTAAGTGACTCCACAGCAATCTGTACAGTTCCTGTCACAGCAGGTCACTGGACTGCCTCTCTCTCAAAGGTCTGAGATCTTTCAGGGTTGGAACCACCTTACTGACCCATCTCCAGCACTCAGCACAGGGTCTGGCAACAATTCTTGTTCAAAAAAAAAAAAAAAAAAACACAAAAAAAACCCCAAAAAACACACGCAGTGCAGAAAGCACACGCAGTGCAATTTAATTAAGGGCGTGGAAAGAAAATGTCGGTATCAACGCTGGTCAGAGACGCTTTGTTGAATTCTTGTAGAAGAACATATTCCTTTCCTTAGAGAAACGCGCGTCTTACCCTGCTATTGGAGCGCTCTGCTGCTGCTTCTGACCCTGTTCAGTCCGGGAGCCCGGGAGCCCGCAGTGCACTCCGCCTGCGCCCAGCGCCAGCCGGGCTAGAGCTGACCGGCTCTCAGGGTGCGCCTGGGGCTGCTGCCGGGCAGCGCGGGCTCCTCGACCCACTGAAGAGGCAGGACCCAGGTCTGCGCCCCCGTCCCCGGCCTCGCCCAGCATCTGTCCCTTGGGTGTCCGCGGCCCTCGGGGGTCTCTGTGCCGTCCCTGCCCACGAGGGGGACACCGCCACTTGGTCTCCCCGCCCTGGGGGCGCGCCCATCCCAGACCCGTCCCGCACGGGCGGCCAAGGCGACCCCGGCCCGGAGGCCCCGCCTAGGACGCAGGCCCGCCCTGCCCCGCGGCGACCCCGCGCCCCGGGACTTCCGGCGCGCCCCCCGCCCGGGCGGGACTTCCGCCGCCCCCTCCCCGGCCTGCTCGGCGGCTCTGCGCGGCTGGGTGGCGGCTCCCGGGCTCCGGCGCTGCGTGCGGTCCCGCGCTCCTGCTGCCGCTCGGCCTCGGCCTCGCCTCCTGCCGCCTCGGCCCCTCGGCCCTCGCCGCTCCTCCTCCTCCTCGCTGCCCCTCGCCGCCCCTCGCCACCCCTCAGCGCCGCTCCTCAGCGCCGCTCGGCCGCGCAGCGAGGCAAGATGGCGGCGCCCAGGCCTCCGCCCTCCCGGCTCTCGGGCGTCATGGTGCCGGCGCCCATCCAGGACCTGGAGGCCCTTCGCGCGCTCACGGCGCTCTTCAAGGAGCAGCGCAACCGGTAACGGCCGCCGGGCGCCGGGGCCGGGCGGCGAGGCGCGGGGCAGCGCGAGGCCTGCGGGGGGGGCGCTGCCCCGTGTGCCTGCAGCCTGCCCAGCGGGACTCTGCCCCTGCCCTCCGCCTGCAGCTCTGCCCTGCGGGACTCTGCCCCTGCCTGCATCCCTGCTCTCCGCTTGCATCCCTGCCCTCCGCCTGCAGCCTGCCCAGCGGGACTCTGCCCCTGCCCTCTGCCTGCATCCCTGCCCTCGGTCTGCAGCCCTGCCCCTTGTGCCTGCTTCTGCCCCTTGTGCCTGCACCCCTACCCCTTGTGCCTGCCCCTGCCCCTTGTGCAAGCCCCTACCCTCTGCCTGTAGCCCGTGCCCTGGGTGCGTGCAGCCCTGTTCTGTGTGCCTGCCCCTGCCTTATGCCTGCCATGCCCTGCGTGCCTGCAGCCCTGCCCTGTGGGACTCTGCCCCTTGCCCTGCATGCCTGCAGTCCGCCCCTATGGGGGCTGTCCCTGTTCTGCAGGCCTGTTTTCCTGGCCTACTGCCCCGTCTTGTGGATTCTGTTTAGAGCGCTTGACCTGGAGGCTACTGGAGCTGCACATTCTGAGGCCTTTTTATATGGGTCCCATTGGGTCGCACTGCCCTGGAGCAGTGTTGTGTGGTGTGCAGAGCACTGGCTGGGAATGGCTGGCCCAGTTGGTGAGAAGACCAGGTGTCCAGGAGTCGATCAAGCCTGGGTCTGATTCTTAGCCTAACCAGTTGGACTATTGAGCACTTTCTTGAAACCTTACTTAGATTCCTGACCTAAAAACAGGAATATGATGCATAACTGCATTGCTGGGTGGTACAGAGGGACAGGTGAAGTAAAGCATGTGGAAATATAAAGTACCTGAAGCCCTCAGTTCCTATTTGATTTGCTTCTCTTCCCTGGGCCTCAGTGCCTCTTTGGTTTAAAGGGAATAATATTGGACAGTATCTCCCTATGGGCTTGTCATGAGGACTAAATGAAATAATGCATATTACCTCCTCAGGATGTGCTTGGTACAAAGATATTGTATTAGTGGGAAAATGCAAAGTCCTTGTTTTCTCCTGTAGGAAGCCAAAACAACAAGCAACCCTGGGGGTTTGGGCAAAGAGAAAACACAGGGGAAAGGAGCATCTAGTTTTGGATTGGTCTAGAGGGTGATAAGAAGTGCCCCTCTCTTTGAACTAGATACCTGGTCTGAGCAGTTCTGGTACCCCCTGTCAGTAGAAAGAGTGGAGCTGCTGGAAGGTGCAGAAAGCTCAGGGCAGTGCTCCTTGGGTTTTTAGGGGAGATGTTTGTCTTCATTGGCAGGGGTAGGAGTGACACCTTCATATGATATTATTGGGAGACACGTTGGTTGATTTGAAGCTTAGCGTTATCTATACCAAGCTGGATCCATAACCCAATCATCACCCATTTGTTGAGTGCCTACCATGAGCCAGGTTCTTTGCTGGAGTCTGGTTACAGAGACGAATGTGGCATGATTCCTTTTGTCAAGTATGTTAGGGAATTGCTATGTAAGCATGTCAGAAGGGAGATCTGTGTAGGAACAGGTGCTGCACAGAGGGAGCCCATGGATATTTGGGATTGATGGGTAAGCCAGTATTACTGCAGCTGTTGGGTTACAACGCATGAAGAGGACTTGTTGGAAAAATAAGTATTTGCAAAGGGACCATATACTGGTTTCAAAGTGCTGCAGAGAGGATTAAATGAAACATCATGGGTTAGGTCTGGTCCATTGAAACCTCATTTTCCTTTTAATAGCCTGCTGGAGAAAATCTAAGGCTCTGAGTCTGTTTACAAGGCCCTCTTGACTTGGTCTGTTGTATCACTGAAGGTTTTTATCAAGGGACTGGCATGATAACATCTGGGTATTAGAAAGACTTTCTGGCTGTGACTGTATGGAATAAGAGAGGATGAAGCTAGAGTAGGGGGGGCTTTAAGAAGCTATTGCAGAAGCACAAGTAAAAAAAGTACCCAAAGATAGGACACATTGTAGGGCTGGATAGGTAAAAGATTGAGAAATACTTATAAAATTAAATGAACACAACTCAGGGACCATTTGGATTGTTGGGCGAGAAGGAGTAAATGAGGGTATTACTCAGACTTGGTTCAGTTTCTTCTGGGGCAGCCTCCTTGTTGCAGGCAAAGTTTGGGGACTAGGAAAGGTGAACTGATTGGCAGGTCCTGGGATGGAGAGAGACAACTGTGGTGGTGCAGAGAGCTCTTGATGATGGTCTGTAAGGACAGGCTTCTGGTCTTGTGCCTGCCACTGTGTCTCTTTGTTTTCATGCAAATCATTGTGGTCTATAGGGTTTGTCTCCGAGAGGATCCCTCTAGCCCTGACACACTGTCAGGGATCCTTGAGGGATGTTTGTCTTTATTGGCAGGGTCACCTTGGATAGGCCTAGTGCTGTTGTATAGCATGGAATGGGAATGCAAATGGTCCAAAGTGTCAGGAGCTGGATGAGACATAAAGGGAAGCAGAATGAGTCCTAAAATAGCAGATAGGAAATAGACAAATTGAAAACAAGAATAAGGAAAGTAACTTACTTTTCCTTGGTGGAAAAGTAAGTTACTTCCTCCTGAAGTCCTTGATGTTAAAAAAACGAGCTTCCGTCTGATGTCAGTGGTAGAAACCCTGCAGTGGGAAGAGCAGTGGCCTTGGAGCCATGTAGATCTGAACAGGAATCCTGGCTTCTTGGTCTCTGAAGACGTCTTGGCAGGGATCTTGGAACTACATAGACCTGAACAGGAATCCTGGCTCCATCTCTGCAGACATTTAGGCAGTGGCTTTGGAGCCATGTAGACCTGAACAGGAATCCTGGCTCGGTCTCTGTAGACGCCTGGGCGAGGGCCTTGGAACCATGTAGACCTGAACAGAAATTCTGGCTTGGTTTCTGCAGACTTCTTGTTTTTCATCTTGAAAACGGGAGGATGGTAACCACTTTGCAGAAGTATTGTGAGGATCCATGATGTTATTTGTATAGCACTGTGGTTCATGCAAAGGCCCTGCTGTTAAGAAAGGACTGGTCTGGCCAGTGCAGTGGCTCGGGAGGCTGAGGCAGGAGGATCACGAGTTCAAAGCCAGTCTCAGGAAAAGCGAGGTGGTAACCAACTCAGTGAGACCCTGTCTCTAAAAAAAATACAAAGTAGGGCTGGGGGTGTGCCTCAGTGGTCAAGTATCCCGAAGTTCAATCCCTTGTACCCCACAAAAAACCAAAGGACTGGTCTGAAATGAATGGGAGCGTAATCGTGTTTCACCTCCTGCTTTATTGCAAACAACTGAAGCTATTTTAGGATAGTGATAATTTAAAGTTTTGTTTTTAATTGTGGTGCTGGTACAACCCCTGATAATTCTAATTTGAGGTTTCCAGAGAAAGAGCTTCTGGAATTTCATTATACAATTTTTAGCAACCCTCAAGAAAAAGGAGATTCTCATATCCCATTACATGTCCACACAACCCTTGACTCAAGTCTGTCAGGTTTTTCTCTCATGTGAGCTGAACATAGTGACTTGTTTCTAAAGAGCAGATCATGGAAGGAGTGATAGTGTGTGATCTTACCTTTTTCTTTGCTCTCTCTTGGATCATGCATCCTGACAAGCCCGCTGCCAGGCTTCTGCATGCATCTGCAGAGTGCTGTGGAGAGGAACGGGCCTGCTGCTGAGGGCCATTGAAGAGCTATGTGGAAGTGGGTCCTCTCAGAACAGCCAGACTTTTAGCTGTATATGCAACCTCCAGATCCTGAGCCACTTTCAGAGTTCTTTCTTCTTTTCTGTGGTTATGATTTTTTTCTCTGGTGCTGGGGTCATTGAACCCACGACTTCTTGGATGCCAGGCAAGTGCTCTACCAATGAGCCATTTCGCTAGTCCCTGTATCAGATTTCTGATTGTCCTAGTTGTATGTGTAAGATCATAAATGTTTCTTCTTTAAATAGCTGAATTCAGGGGATGCTTTGCTGTATGGTAGTGAATCATTAATACAGTCTAAATTCATGCATCAGACATTTTGTAGCCCTCTTCTTGAATAATTAACCACTAAAATTTGCTGAATAATTGCTTATGGCCACAAAATGTAGATATTAAGATTGCCCTCAGCTAATTTTTCTCTTTGGAGGATAATTTTTTTTTCTCTCATCTATTTTACATTTGTTTTATACCTCTGGTTGAATATGGATATCTGCATATTTCACATTTGCTTAACAAGTGATTTTTTTTTGTGTGTGCTGTGCCGTGAATCATTGCAAATCATGTTAAATCCTTCCTGGAACAAACTAAGATATAAAAATTAAAAATTCTCTGGGGCTGTGTTTGAGGCTCAGTGGCAGAGTGCTTGCTTCGTACATGTGAGGCACTGGGTTTGATCCCCAGCGCTACGAAAAAAAATGAATAATAAAATAAACAAAATAAAGATATTGTGTTCATGTATAACTAAAAACTTTTAAAAAATTTAAAAATTCTGGTTTTGGTCTTTTGGAGGTTTTATTTTCCAGCTCTTGTTACCTTTGTGATGTGTCCTAGAGACACACTGGTGCTGTTTGTTAAGAGGCCGCCAGTCACGTAGGACTTTTTAAATTCAA